ATATTTCCCTGTGTTTCCAGCCCTTGATAATGGAAATACCATAAGCGAATATTATACAACCTGAGTTATTTGTGGGATCATCGTAATGATAACTGCAGCTTAATTACAGACTAACGACAAATAATTCAGCAAATTCCTTTTAAAATGTAATGGTCTGTGGGTCCATCCTTTTTCGTATAGAATGAATGTTCAGTTTTTGTAATGTGAAAGGATTGGGGGCTGCTTGACTGCAGCTTTGCAATTGTTTCTTTTTGCTACATATAAGGGCTTGAATTAATTGCAAATAGTCATTTGCTGGTTGTCATAGCAACCAACCAGTATTCGTGTTTGTTTAGGAAGTAGGTGAATGAGAAAGTTCACTTCTTGACTTAAAATCAGTGTTCTAAATTGGTTTCCTTCTCTGTTAAATCAAGATTTTAATCACGGTGGAGGCCAGTGGCATAGCTCATGAGGGTGTGATTATCTGGATATATAATTCAGGAAACACTATGGGACTGGGATGATCGGTTTCACTTTTTTCATTGTCCAAATGACATAAAAAGAAATCTCTCCCACCCCCGCCCACCATTTTGTGGCAGAAATGAGAGCTCCTGAGAGCATGAGCTGCACAGATGAGAGTAAAGCTGGGAGGGGGTTTGCATTGTAGAGTTGTGCTTCGCTTCACACCCTTTCCTGGGGAACTGGGGCCACTCACTGACTGCCTACTGCTCCCCTTTTTTGTCTATTTTACTTTCAGGAGCTGTGAGGCATTGTTTACCAACCCCTTCCTCCTATCTAATTGTTATAGACAGAGGAGAATGAGAGGAGGAAATTGGCACTCAGTCCTAGTTTACAGCTTGTTTGTTGCCCAAATCTAAAATAATGTCTTGATTTGGTTTAATATTAGTAACATTGTCCCCAACATCTAAGGAGGATTTTTTTCCCCTTCAGTATTAGGGAACAACATGTACCATTCCTTGTTTTCAGCATCAAACTAGATTATATTTCTAGGAAGTGTTTAGGAGGAGTGCTCTCAGATGGTGAAAAATGTACAGTATATTTCTCATAGCACATGGTTATCCTTACCAATAGATCTTGCATGTAGTGTTCATTGTTTTCTGTCTGGTCATTAAAAGCCCCCAGTGTGAAGGGAAAAACATGGTAGTTTGAGGGAGTATGCGTCCCTTAAATCAGTGGTCCCCAACCTTTTTGACACCATGGACTGGTTTAGTGTACTTGGGGGGATGTCTGTGCATGTGTGCAGGGGTACATCTGTGCATGCATGCAGGGGTGAGTGCACCCATGAATGTGTGTGGGTGCGTGCACGCATCCATGCATGCATGCATGCATGCATGCATGTGGGGGCGTGCAGGGGGCGTGCATGCAGGGGGGGAGATCTGTCTCTGTGGCCTGGTCCTGCCAAGGCCACGGACTTGTACCAGGTCACGGATCGGGCGTTGGGGACCCCAGCCTTAGATAATGAGGTTTACCAGCATCTCTTATTTTAGACAGAAACCTCCACATTGTTGCAATGGGCCATCAAATTGCTTCCAAATTATAGCAACCAAAAGAGGGTTTTTGATGGGAGATATTCCAGGAGTGGCTTGCCACTGTCACCTCCCCTGTGATTTTTTTAAATGACTGAGCTGGAATTTTAGTGCAGGTCTTCTGACACTAGTCCAATACTCTATCCACCACGCCACATAGGCTCTCAACAGAAATTTTCCATAAACTTTGCTATTTCCTATCAGATCAGTGCAGCATCATGGATCCTGACATTCTCATTCCCAATATTTACGAATTTCCCAATAGTTGGGCCGGGTAGGGAGTGGGATATATAGAGTTCTGAGTTTCCCAGCTAAGGCAAACTGAGCACAGGTGGTATGCTTGACAATACTAATTTTCATCCTGGACTGTAGACCAGGTCTGCAGTGTTTTATCTTAGGGAAAGGTAAAGGTTCCCCTTGACAATTTTTGTCGAGTCGTGTTCGACTCTAGGGGGCGGTGCTCATCCCCGTTTCCAAGCGATAGAGCCAGCGTTTTGTCCAAAGACAATCTTCCATTCGCTGTATACAATGAGTATACAGCTTGTATAACAGTGTAAATGTGCTGTCCCCTCAAAATAACGCAACACACAGCCATTAATGTCTAAACCGCCGGCAACAAAAGCAAGTACACCCCTAAGTGACAATGTCCAAATAGATCGGCAAGGTGAGGCGATGTCTCTGCTTTCTAAGATGCTGTCTAGGTTTGTCATCGCTTTCCTCCCAATAAGCTATATACTATATACTGTAAGGTAAAGGTAAAGGTTCCCCTTGACAATTTTTGTCCAGTCGTGTTCGACTCTAGGGGGCGGTGCTCATCCCCGTTTCCAAGCGATAGAGCCAGCGTTTTGTCCAAAGACAATCTTCCATGGTCACATGGCCAGTGCAACTTAGACACGGAACGCTGTTACCTTCCCACCGAGGTGGTCCCTGTAGATCTACTTGCATTTGCATGCTTTCGAACCGCTAGGTTGGCGGGAGCTGAGACAAGCGACGGGAGCTCACTCCGTCGTGTGGATTCGATCTTACGTCTGCTTGGTCTTCTGACCCTGTAGCACAGGCTTCTGTGGTTTAGCCCGTAGCGCCACCACGTTTTATCTTACAGAGGGAAAAGGTATTGGAAATGTGAATCTCCTTTTATGGGAAGGACTTGAGTGACTCCACTTTGAGAAACACATAATTGTGCACAGGAGGAGAGGAGACGTGATGGACACTGATGTTATTGCCAGTTTCCCAAATATACTGTGAGGCGGAGCCTGGAAAAGTTACTATTTGGGGCTGCAAAATAGTATTGCATATACTGAGGCAGCCATGGTACATGCGGGGTGGGGTCTTAAGAGTTGTAGTCCAATGCAGTAATTTTTTCCAATTTTTTTGTCTCTGTTCTCACGTGGTAAATGAATTAAGCTCTATGTGACAACTGTACTGAACAATATGTTCCTTTAAAATGAATGGATATATGCAACATTTTTATTTGTTTCAGGAACGGGGCATGCTTTTGAAAAAATTGGATTCTCAGTTTTCCTTGTGTGTGGATTTTTGGTCCCCATGTCTGCTTAGAATTCTCAGTTTTCCTTGTGGGGTATTTGTGTGGATTTTTGGTCCCCATGTCTGCTTCTCTGTGAAAGAAGACAACACATCAGAAAGGACAGGTGTGCTGTTTCAGAGGTTTTTCAAACCTCCTGCACCCGTATGTTGGCAAAGAGTATTGCATGTTAGACGCAGAAGGCTTCAGCATTACAAGAGTACCAACCTGTGGCATTGTGGGGAATATTCAAGGTCTGTTAGGTCTACACATTGCTCCACACAAATGATCCATGCCTCTATTTCCCTGTCACCGCTCTTCAGTGTCTTTACTGTAGTGTTTTTATGCTCCGTCCACCCTGACCAGTTCTCTAGTCAATTTCAGTTTCTCTTGGATTTCCAAACAAAAGTTTTTAAAGAGAGCTAAAGGTCAGTTTGTGAAAAGTTGGCTCTTTCTTAGATTTATCTTGGTTTCATTGGAAACTTCTTGAAGGAATGACAGTGATAGCGTGGACACCCTATCCAGAAAGAATGGATGCCATAGGTGGCAGATACTGGGAGGCAGAGAGTTGTTCCATTGGAAGACCGTCCATATGCCTGTATTGAAATGAAGTTCAGCTGGTAGCTAAATTGTCTTTTGTGTGTGTGTGGATTGAGGGAGGCATCTTGTCAGCCTCAGGCCTTCGGCAGCCGCAGGGAGAGTGGATGGACATATGAGATTTTGCCTCTTGGTCTGAAGTTGAATGCTGTAATTATATCTTTAAACCAGAGGGTTTTCCAGACGTTTTCAATGATAATTCCCACAGCCCCTTACTCATGGCCCATGCTCCTAGCAGCACAACTGACACCCAGCACAACTGGAGTGCCAAGCATTCCCCAGCATTGCACTAAACTTTTGCCTGCATTTCAAACTGCCTGCTTGACAGCCATCTGTAAATTGGTCCAAGTTCTTTGGAAGATGGAGAGGGTACAGTAAATAAAATATGAGATCTAGCAAGAACTTTAAAAGCCAACAAGAACATGCATAAATGTACCATTTGCTTGACAAAATGAAAAGATGAAATGTGTTTGCTTCGACAGTTCAGAAGAAATGAAGCCAAATATTAAAATCTCTACCCACCCACCCCCGAGGACTGTCATGACAGCAGATCCCTGCGTGCCAATAAGCAGCGACATACATCAAGGGACCTAATGTATATGGTACAGTCTGGATAAGCTGGAAAGGGTCAATACCTGAATTTGTGATTCGTATTTGTGATATCAGCGGTGATGCTACTGATGACTCAGTCAGCCGATTTAGGGATTTTTAAATTACCAGCAAAAGCTTCCTTTATCTTTCGTTGACCTTCCTCTCCATAACTGGTGTTCTTGCTGAAGGATGTGTTAACACTTTTTAAAAATTTCATCATGTCTCAAGTAATAGGATGCTTGGCAGAGAAGGAGAAATAACCTTAGATTGTCTCTCTCTCTCTCTTTCTCTGCTGCATAAAGTTGGAACATATCTCTGTGTTTGCACCCCCTTTTGTGTTCTCTCCATCAATTTCAATAACATCTAAACACCTATGGAATATTTATACAGCAATTATAGAAATGGATCTTGGTTGCTTTTCTGCCAGAGCCCAGCCACCATGACAAGTTGGTAGTAATTTCACTCAGCATTTTTGGCTAACTGACGAAAGTATACACAGCAGAGCTGTACCCAGCTGACAGCCAAAAATGGAATTATTTCTCCATTTTGAAGCTTATTCATCAAAAGTCAATACAACAACAGAGCTTCTGTTTCGGTCTGAAACAGCTGTAACTATTCAGTCATTAATAAATGGAATAAATACATATAATGTCAGTGGGCATGGCAATGGACAAGAGGAGAGAGTTCTGTACACCATTAGTTATAAAGTAGGAACAAATGTACATAATCAGCTGTACTTGGTCACAAAAATATCACAGCAGTCCATGAATATAAACATGAGTCATGTACTTCTCCACAGAACAAGTTGGACTACAATGTGTACTTTCAGAAAAGCAGAGCATATTTTTTATTTCAGGAGATTTTGGCATCACAAAGCAAAGAGTTGTCATGACATGGTACTGTTGTCTTCTTTCTGCTTTGCAAGGAACGGATGTTACTCAAAGAATTCTCTTTGTTTTCTTTCTGCGAATTGACGACTTTTCTAACAGTAGCTATTTAGTGTGATAATGGCGTTTGACAGACTGGATACAAACACCATTGTCACACTCCACAGCTCCAGCAGGAGTGAGGCCTTGGGGAGATGAAAGAAAAAACATGGATGTATAGAATTACAACCACAGATACCTGCAATAAATATAGAATGGATCAAAAATTGGATATGAAAGTAGAAAGACAGAAGAAAACTTGGGGAGAATACTGCTAGGTAGAAAGACTCTCGTTGTAAATACGAAAACCAGTTGTTTACCCAACCAGACAAAAGATACTGCTAGCAGATCAGTAATACCAGCCCCAGAAGGGTAGCTGTGTCAGTCTCGACAAAAGAGTTTTGTGGCAGCTTAAAGATGAGCAGTTTTTATTTGGTGTAAATGTTGGTGGAGCGCATCCCACTTCTTCAGATACATCTACAGTCCTCAGAAAGGAATGCTGAATAGAATTTGCTAAGGTGCCATAGAATTATGTACTTGCTTCAGTACCAGATGTTGACTCCTTAGTTTTGGCCTACAAATAAGACACAGCTAGGAATAATCTGTCTGTCTTGCTTTTTCTGAGCTTGCACTGCAGCAACAAAATGCAAAATGTTCTAGAAAGGGACCTTGGTATGCTGATCAATGCACTGTGCTGTCCAGCCAGCTCCATTTTCCTCCAAGTTTTTAAAAAATTAAACTGGCAGGAAACTTATCAGTGTTTACATAAGGTTTGTGTAATTTGCTGCAGCTAATTGAGGCTAATGGATGAGATGCCAGGGCACATATCGGTTGTGCAACTGGGCATGTGAAGAGGCCCATGTCCAAGACATGGCCTAGCACAGTTGTTTACCCAACCAGACAAAAGATACTGCTAGCAGATCAGTAATACCAGCCCCAGAAGGGTAGCTGTGTCAGTCTCGACAAAAGAGTTTTGTAGCGCCTTAATTAAAGATGAGCAGCTTTTATTTGGTGTAAAATGTTGGTGGAGCACATCCCACTTCTTCAGATACATCTACAGTCCTCAGAAAGGAATGCTGAATAGAATTTGCTAAGGTGCCATAGAATTCTGTACTTGCTTCAGTACCAGATGTTGACTCCTTAGTTTTGGCCTACAAATAAGACACAGCTAGGAATAATCTGTCTGTCTTGCTTTTTCTGAGCTTGCACTGCAGCAACAAAATGCAAAATGTTCTAGAAAGGGACCTTGGTATGCTGATCAATGCACTGTGCTGTCCAGCCAGCTCCATTTTCCTCCAAGTTTTTAAAAAATTAAACTGGCAGGAAACTTATCAGTGTTTACATAAGGTTTGTGTAATTTGCTGCAGCTAATTGAGGCTAATGGATGAGATGCCAGGGCACATATCGGTTGTGCAACTGGGCATGTGAAGAGGCCCATGTCCAAGACATGGCCTAGCACTTGGTCAATTAGCTGCAATCAGCAACAGTATTTTGCACAAACCTTACATGAATATTAATAGGATTCTAGTTATTAAGAAGCAGAATATTCACAGCTTACTTATTACCTACGGCAAGAACACTTATAATCAAGCTATAAAACAACCGTGTGTTTTTGTCTGCCCAACTGTTAATAATAATCATAGCGTGCCATGAAGTCAATTCTGACTTATGGCAACCTATTTTTAGTGTTTTCCAGGTAGAAAATGCTAGAAGTGGTTTACAGTTTTGGCCGACAAATAAGACGTAGCTAGGAATAATCTGTCCGTCTTGCTTAAACCATTGAACTGTGCATCCCAATTGCTACAAGGCCAGATATCGAACATGGATAATATTCCAAGCAGACAAAATGAAGAGAGTAAACAATTGAACTGTGCATCCCAATTGCTATAAGGCCACATATCAAACATAGATAATATTCCAAGCAGACAAAATGAAGAGAGACAAGTGGGGGTCTGGAGAAAAAAAAATCCTGCAGAGTGATTTCCTGCATGTTCATTTCTTGACTTAGATCCTATATCTTTAAGTATAAGGAACTTGTAGTGCTCCAGATGAAGTATCACTCCCATGAGCCACCCTTGCTATTGGTCAGGTTGCCTGGGGATGATGGGAACTAGAGTTCAACAATATCTGGATTGCCAGTTCTACCATACATATTGTTCATATTCCAGATGGCAAAATCCTAGTGGCTTTGCTCAGCTCTGCCTCCTGTCTTTAATAAATGTGCCTTTCTATCTATCTGCAGATATAACAGATGGGTCCAAACCTCCCTCTCTCGGTGCACCAACGTTAGCAACTTTGGTAAATCCATGGGTCAATTTTGCACCAAGGTTAGTAACTTTGGTAAATCCATGGGTCAATTTTGCCTTCCTGGGATGTGATGTAAGCTGCACACTCTCTGAGAAATGCACATTTCCCCCCATTTTTTGGGATGTTTGTTTGTATCAAAGCCAGAAATTCACAACCAGTTTTGAGATACAAGCAGTTCCAAAGGGCCTCTTCATGTCTTGCTATAGAGAATTGCTGTTGCTAGAGATGTTCGGGAGCACCATGTTTGATACTTGGAGTGAAAATGGAGTGGGCATTAGGTCCAGAAAAATTGATTTCACAGTTGTATATAGCCTACATAAGTCCCCTGCCTCCTGATGTGCACAGTACTTTCATCCAGAGACACATGGGAGCACTCTGAGCCAAAATTTCTTGAGAATCCTGGTACCCAAAATACTGTAAACTGCTGTATAGAGCAAAAGGTCTGGAAAGACAACAGCTTATGCGGAATTTCACATGGATTGCCAACCATTGACTTAAAAGAAAAAAAGTGTCCCATATAGGTAGGACCTGGAAACAGATCAACTGATTTGAGGTTGATTGGAGGCTCATGAATCAGTTGTTGGAACCTACCCTGTTTCTCCGAAAATAAGGCCTAACCTGAAAATAAGCCCTAGTATGATTTTTCAGGATGTTCGTAACATAAGCCCTCCCCTCAAAATAAGCCCCACTTAGGTGAAACCCCGCCTTCCACCATTGTGCAGCAACTAGAAGATGAGATGACTGTATTTGTATAAATGTAGATTGTTGTATATGAACAAGTAAAAATATAACATCCCCTGAAAATAAGCCCTAATTTTTGGAGCAAAAATTTATATAAGACCCTGTCTTATTTTCAGGGAAACATGGTATTAGCCTTTCCAACACTGGTTTCAGTGACCTTACTGTTGGTGGCTTGTGGTCTGGGATGACTGGGGGCAGTGGGGGGGGGTCTGAGGCCTGCTCTGGTCACAGATTGTCACTGGACCTAATAAGAGAAAAAACTGCTAACCCATAGTTAGAAGCTGAAACCCATTCATGTTCCAGAGTTGTGATTCGGGCAAACCTTTGTGACTGAGCAATTGTACGTGGAAACAAAGTCTGTACTTGTCTCTCAATGATCTGTTATGAAATAAAGCAAGATAGTTTGCAAACTGAAGGACACCTGAAAAACTCCTGATACGGCAATCAGATGTTTTGAACATTTAAAGAATTCTCTCATTTAATGATGAACTATCTATAATACATCATTTGCCTCTTAGGCTTTGTTAATCAGAGCAAAATATCACTGGCTGATTAAAACCACTACTAGCTGCCACCACAGATCAAAGCCTCCCTTTGTTCAGCATAATATGGCAGAGCTGGACAGTTAGCCATGGATTGCTTTACCCGAGAGCTGCACAAGACCGTGACAATGGATTGGCAAGTACTGTTGGTTTCTTACAGCATACCCAAGACACTTAACTGATGTGGCAAACTCCTTGGGTTACACTGGTATAACTAATGTATGTAGAATGTTGTTTTCGTGATGGGTCATAATTGTTTTGCTGTTGTTTGTCGACAAAAATGTAGAACATATTGCTTTGGGGATTCTGGGAGTTACAGTCTGACTTTTGAACTTGTCTATTACCAAGTGGTGTGGTTCATTAAATTATCATTATCATTATGCCACCTTTCAGTGGAGCTAGCTCTGGGCATGTGCGCATGCCTTTTGTGTGGAGGATAACAGAGCATGAACTTTGATTGCTTTTTGGGCAATTATGTGTCTGATCCATGAATCTGCAGATGTACTGCAGAATTCGTCTGGACTGCCTGGTGAGGGTTGAGTAGATATCACAAAAACAAAAAAAATTAGTCTTGGTTCTTGATTTGCAAACATGTACATAAAGGAAAGGAATCCAAAAGGATGGAGATGTGAACATTTCTCCCACCCACCCCCATCTCCTTTACTTTTGAAAAAGACAGCAATAACATCCTGATTAAGGTGGCCATTTTAATTGCAAAAGCCCTGTTGAAAGAGACAGCAATAACATCCTGATTAAGGTGGCATGGTGTGTTGTGGGCCATTTGCAAAATGATTAGTTTTCTCTCTCAGAAGTGGCATTCCATTTTACTAAGTGCTCGCTCCCCGCTCCCCCGCTTCTTTAACGAAGAAAAGCTATAAAAAGAGATGTTTTGTCAACCTTTGAGAACTGAAATAGAGAAACTTGTCAGAACAGAGGAAAGGTACAATTCTCTTGTGTTTGGCATGTGGATTGCAGTGGGAGAATGGAACGGTGGGGGTTGTCTAGCTTTCAGTCTAAAGCCTCTGAAACAAAGAGAATACAGTAGAATGTTGCTTGTCTTGGAAATGGTTGCAGAAAATAAAAGCTTCAATGCTACCAAAAATGAGAACTGTCGAATGCTTTCTCCTGGTGATTGTCCTGGAACTTGGAAGTGTTACTGTTTTTTAGACGACAACTCCCGGAATCCTCTGACCTGCCATTTTTGAGGATTCTGGGAGTTGTAAATCCAAGCAAGTCATATTTCACAAGACATTAGAATTGACTCCTTTTCCCCCATGTACAAAGATGCCTCCATCACAGTGCTTTTTTCTCAATTCTGTTCTGTGGTATGATGGCTTTTAATTCTGTTGTGTGATTCTGCTCTGTTGTATGATATTTATTATGCGTCATGTTTACGTAATTTTTAATATTTATTTGGCAATTGAATTTTTCTCAGCTCTTCCACCTCTCTTGCTCTACAGAAGCTGCTGCCTGAGGTGGCTTCCTCACTCTACCAAATGGTAGGGTTGGGCTAGATTAGTACATAGGGCACTAAACAAGCCACATTGATTTATTCATAGATCTACCCTTTTCTTATATAAAGGGAAGTTTTAACATCCAAACATGCAGGTGAGATGAACTGTATCCCCTCTTCACAATGCCCATATTTTGGAACTTAGATGGTGAAAATGAGAAATAGCTGTAATAAATAGACAAAGACAGACACCATTTGTCAGGAGCATAAAAACTAGCCTTGTTTCTTCACATGGGATACTTTGCCCTGAAAAGAAAGATAAATCTGGTTGGCCAGAGGAAGAAACAAAGACTGAAGTAAGACGACAGAAGGTGTAGCTCAGCTTGTGATAGCCATGGACTCCTGCCAAAGGTGGATGCTGAGGAGGCTTCTGGCATCCCTACTAGTGCATGGCCGGTACATGTCAGGTGAAAGCCAAGGAAAACTTTGCCTTAGAGGTGTCCAGGATATACGGCTTCGTCTGGATCTTGCTGTTCATTTGGCTTTAAAGACAAAGCCATTTGGAGAGGCCATTCAAATGGAGCGCCAAATGAAAATACATTTATGAAGGCACTTGTCAATGAGTGTGCAGGACATGAAACAGAATGTGGATCTAGACCACGGTGCAGTAAAGCTAGTTTTCTGGACTACAGCTCGCATAATCCCCAAACAGCATGGGGATTATGAGAATTGTGGTCTAGAAAACCTACATTCCTGTGCTCGTATGGTGTGCGTCCATCATGCCATGGATGATGGAAAGGGATCAGCATAAGAAGTCCAAATAGAAGTGGTGCCGGCATTAGTTAAAAACTGGGGATGGAGCGTCACAGCTTTCCTTATTCTATCTGTAAAAATCCACTTCCAAAAGCTAAAGATTAAGGAACAAACATTTGGTCTCCTGGCCCCAAACTTCTGACAGTTATCTATACCGAGAACTGAATTTGAACTCTCCTACCCTGGAAATATTAGGGCAGAAAAATTACACATGACCCAACAGCAGATATTGCCTGCAATGTAATGGTGATAAAGATATGCCTAAATTTTAGCTGGTGGATTCACCCGTTGTGGTGTTCAAGTACAGTGGTGCTTTACTTAATGAGCGCCCCATTTAACGAAGAATCCGCATAGCGATTTGTTTTTTGTGATCGCAAAAGCCATCACATTGCGATCTTTTTAGTGGCAAAAATCGCTTTGCGATGTTTTAAAAAATAGCTGATTGGCGGTTCCAAAATGGCTGCCGGAAAAAATGGCTGTCTGCAGTGTTTTCGCGCCCTTTTCTCGCATACCAGGCAGTGAAAATGGTGGCCGCATGGAGGATTTCTGCATAATTGTGAGTTTTTTGCCCACAGGAACGCATTAAACGTGTTTTAATGCGTTCCTATGGGCTTTTTTGCCCCGTATAGTGACGAATCCACATAAGGAGAAAGGCAAAGTAAAAATATTTTAAATAAATAAATAAACTGAATTGTAGTTGAAGTAATAGTGAACTGTGTACCTTTGTAGAATGGATAAATACATTCTCCAAACAAGATTAGAATGAAGTAGTAAATGGCAGACACATGAGAGAATAAATATACTGTCCTTTTTAAAGAGGTAAAACTTGGGGGTATACAACTGAGACCAGTTTATACAATTGCAGCCAGTTCTCTAAGGAGAGAGCAGGGAGAAATAGATCAGCAGCTTAGAAGAATCTTAGGCAAGAGGTCTCAACCGCCTTGCATTTTTATCAGGAGCCAGCTGTTATTTAGTAATCTCTTGAGAGAAGCCAGCGAGAGAGAAAAAAACAATGAAAGGCAGTTGGTTCCTATGGTAAAACGTTCTTTCAGAACTGCACAGTTATTAGGTGGGGTGACTAAGGGGTTAATGGAAGCATAAAGACATTCAAGATTGCAAATTACTACTGCTACCCCCATAGCAATGAGAGCTGCCGTAACAGCCCCTACCGTCCTCCTCCATGTTCCTGCCTTCCTCCCCAGTGGGGTTTTAGTGGATATAATGGCATGGACGCAACAGGAACGTAATTACTGAAATCAGCCAGAGAAATATCCGTATAGCTGTGTTTCACCCAGAGGAAACACTTCTTAAAAAGCTGGTATCATTTACACAATTTTAATACACCTCTTGATAATAATTATGATGATAATAATAATAAGCATCTAATCATGCTTATTTATTATCCTAATTATTTTTAATACCAATGCATTTCCTCCCTTCCAAAGCCATGGGGTTAATATTAGTCATGTTTCCTTTTTTGTTTTGAAAAATTAAATGTTTAGTGTTGCTTCCAGCCAGCTAGAATTGGGAAAAAGCTGGTGTGAATTCACACAACACACTGCCCTCTTTTTGTAGGAATTGGACAATTGCAACTTGACATTTTATTTTATTTTTAGTTAACAAATTTTAGTTCACGGATCTCATGTTAGGGTGTTCACACACGCAGACCTCTGGCGTGAACTGTCCTCAAATCAGCCTACTTTACAGAGGCCTACAGAGAACCTTTTAAAAGATTACTTTAGGATGTGATTAGAATTGTTATTAAGAACACTTATATTTCAATACGTTATCTCTTGGTAAATTTGAATCCCTTCTCTTCCGTGAAACGTATCCATTAGAAGCACTTACCATTGCATACGGCTGCATTGGTCCTCTTTTTTCCTTTGTTCTTATTTGTTCTTTGGTTGCCTTAAACTTTTCCTCTTGAGAGCCGATCACTTCATTATGTCTCTAACAATTCTCAGTTTTATGTTTTAGGCCCTATCTATTTACAACGCTAGGGTGTGTGTTCAGAGCGTCTGTTTCCAAAACTGACTCCCTCTTGGCCTTTATGGGATCCGGAGTTTTTAAGTAAACAAGCCAGCCTGATAAGTCACATTAAAATATTGATCCGTGCGGGGATGGCTGTTGGTCCCTTTACAAGACAGGTGGCTGCTAGCTAGCTATGCAGTAGCTTCCGAGAAGAGCTGTACCATGTCATGTCTGCCTCGTTCGCTGGTTTTTATAGTGGCTTTTGCCAGTCTCTTCCTCCTCAACTTTGAGCAGAAACGTTCCGTTCTTAGTCCACCATTTCTACCCTATTCCTTCTTACTGCAGCAAATCTGTCATGGCAAGAAGGACTGAATAGTTCTCTCTGATTGCTAGTATGAGGCCTTCTAAAGGTGCATTTGTAAGGCCAGAAGGAGGGGGGAAACCCGCACCATTAATAATGTACATGTGGCCTACCCTGTTCGATCTAGGGGCTAATCGTCTGTCCTAGGAATCTCTAGGATCTTCATGGACCATCCACCACCCACCCAAATCCAAAAATGGCTAGAAATCCTGTTCCTATTTTGATAAATGGGCATTTTTGGGTGCTAAATGTTGAGGGCAGGAGAGGGGCAGTGGCTCATTTAAAAGGTGAATTGATGTTGTTGTGGGGCTCCTGAGAAACCTTCCAAATGTGTGTGGATGTGCATGTGTTTTACAGGAAAAGGGGGTCTGTGGGGGGGCCAGGCATTGCAAAAGCAGATGGAGAGGACTGCATGGCAGTGTGTCTACTCTTGCAATAAAGGCACAGTATTTTCCTTCTTTACTTGGGTCAGTGTTAGAATGGCGAGGACATGAGAATAAAGGAGTTAACAGAAGGAGATTTCCCAAACCAGAATAAAGAGGTGGAAAAATACGCAAACACCAAAGGCACGAGAGTAATCATGAAAGCCTCGTTCTTCAATAAACTGGATGAAATGGCGGTCTGTGCCTATAATATCTGAGGTGCATTTGATTGATTAATAGATTCCATGTTTATGCCACCTTTCTCTCAGTGAAAGGATTCAAGGCAGCGCGCACATCATTAAAACAAACACAATTAAAACAGAACACACAAACCATTACAAGCCTATTAAAGCAGAGAGATAAAAAAAATTTAAAAACATAAAAAAGACATCATATGCTGCAGGGCATATACAGTAATTATGTTAGCCATTAAAAGCCTATCTGGATAGAAAGGCTTTCTCTTCTTGCCAAAAAGACAGGAAAGGGGGGGGGCGAGGGACAGCCTAGCCTTCCAAGGGAAGGCCTTCCACAATCGAAGGGGATAAACAGTGAGAAGGGCTTCTCTTGAGTCCGCTTCAAAAAGTACGTACTTGTAAAAGTGATAGGACTGAGAAGAAAGCCTCCAAAGAAGATCCTAAAACCTGAGTGGAATTTTATGAGGATTTTTAAAATTTTGTTTTATTTTCCATCAGTGCAAAGCACTATTCTGGGCAGTTAACGAACGATAAAATCAAACAGAAATAGCAGTAAATTAAACAATGGGAATCCTAAAACAGAGAACAGATCACATCAGCTAAAGATATTACTACAGATATGGTCCATCGGATACCCTGGACCTCAGCAATATGAAGCTGGACAGATTGACAGCAAGTACAGTACTGTACTTTGAATTGGGCTTGGAAAAGGACTATCAGCCAGTGGAGCTGCTGTAACAGCTGCAGCATTTTGCATGAATTAAACCTTTCACAGAGTTCTGCTCCAGGCAATCAACTTCCTTAAAAAAAACTTGAAAATTGTAGAGAGATTCTCTATTCCAAGCTGACATGCATGAGATGCACCCTTTGCTAGGTATAGATGGAACACCCTTCTGGATGAAAGTTTCCATTAGTAATCTGATGTATCCATTTCCTTCTGCTCCAATGAAATCCATGTAAATGGGTTAGGATGATTAAGGCCCCAAGTATATGCTATACATAGAGGAGAGAACTCTTAAAGTGCTACCTATATGGGATTTTTTTCATAGCAGATAATTTTTCTTACATCCCATAAACTGCAAATTAGTTTGCTTTGTCTTGTGATTGGTCTCCAGGCCATCAGCATGTTCTGCCTTTGTGAGCCTGATTTCTTAGACACACAGGACTGCATCAAGGTCTGTTCATCACTGAGGGGGAATAAAACGGGAGAGGGATCCATTTTTTAAAAAAATTGGGACTAAAGTCGTGTGAGCTTTAGCCTGAATCCATAACTTTTGTGGCTCATTGTGCTGCCGCCACCTCCGCCTCGGATTCCCGGCTGCCATTGCTACTGCCACCACTGTCCGATGAGGGGGCAGGGGGAGTCGGGGAGAATGGAAAAGGAGGAGGATGAGGAGGATGAGAAGGAAAGGGGCAAGGGGTGAGGGTGGGAGGGCACCTGGACAGGTGGGTGAGACAGGGTGTGTGGGGATGGCAAACAAGTGAGGGGTGACTGGATGGGCAAACGGGTGGGCACCAACTTTTTCAGCAGCTGTGTTGCTTTTATTTTATTTTTAGAAATTCCTGCACATCCACCTGAAAATAAACAGACCTCTGGCAAGGGAGCAGAAAAATCCACTTCCCTGGCACAGTGCTCTGCATGTGTATGTACCTTGTCTGTACACTAAAATTTAAATCTTTTTTTAAAGGAGAAACCATTTTGTTGTCTGTAGGATCAAGCCCTCAATCTGGGGACGGCGTCCTGAATGCTAACCTGATTTCACCTCTAGTAACAGCTTGCCTGTACAATGTAGCTTGACCCGCCATCCCATATCGTTGTTAAAATGGGATGTGCAACCCCATCCCAGGCATGTTAACATGACAACACAGAATATTCCACTGAGTTTAATGGGATTTGCTCTCGAAAATGTGTGCACAGGCTTGCTGATATAGGTATGAATAACAACACTTGCTGAACTATAGTGGGTGGCAACAAAATAAAAATAAAAAAAGATGAAAACTTTATGGCTCCTTAAAGACTGTCATATTTTTTCTGATAATTCTGTCTTCTCATGATCTGTCCAGAGTAGAACAGACTCTGTTTCATCATTTTTTGTCTCCAGAGATATTTCAGGCTTGATTTGATTCAGGACCCACTTGTACATCTTTCTGGCAGTCTAGGGTATCTTCAATGCTGCCTTCCAGCACCACATTTCAAACCAATCAGGTTTTTAATGTATTTTTGAAGGCTTTTACAGCTGGGATCCAATGGCTGTTGTAGGTTTTTCAGGCTGTTTGGCCATGTTCCAAAAGTTTTTCTTCCTAACATTTCACCAATCTCTGTGGCTGGTATCTTCAGAGGACAGGAGTTAGAACTCTGTCTGTGTTCTGGTGTAGTGTGTGGGATAGTTTAGCATTTGTATCTGTGGAATCAGCTTTTTGTCTTTTTCAGGAGATTGGGTGATTATGGTGATCAGGGTGTTTTTTGTTATTGGTCTATTGGACTACTATGGGGGAGATAAAGGGGTGATATGATCTGTCACTGTGACAGATCCTCTTCCCCCCCTTATCATGACAATAGGCCCATAACAAAAAAAACACCATGATCAGCATAATCAGCCAATCTCCTGAAAAGGACAAAAGCTGATCCCACAGCTACAAATACCCAACTAGCTACATACTACACTAGAACACGGAAGAGACTGTAAGAAAGTTTGTTAGTTCAGCCCAAACAGTCCTGGTCAATTTCTCATAGTGTTGAATAGATAGTTCTTAAAATTAATACCTCTTCTCTGCAACCAGTATGGACACTTACTGGGCATATATGCCAACTGGGGGATTTTGGCAGCTGATCAACAACTACTCTTCCTAAACTCTGTTATTGATCGTCCATCCTCCGTAAACTGTTTGTGACTCCTTTAAATACCATGTGAACCACTGAGTATGGCCACATCGTTTGACTATTCTTTCTCCTCTTCTCCCTTGCCCTCCTTTTAGCGATGTGATATTTGTCCCTAACCACACACTGTGACATCTGACATGATGATATCAGGCACAAACAAAAACCACAGGGGCTTCCACCATCAGGTGAGGATCTGAGCCCAAGAGAGAAGAAAAACACAGCTGAGAAGCAGGAGGAGAAGCATGATGCTGAGACTCATCAGTCTGAGTACAGATCAGACTATTTCTGGTTCATTGCAGCTTGACATGTGTTAATTTGTAATTCTATCCTCTTTCTGCATTAAGGTTATTAAAAAAAACCACAAAGATATTTTGTGTAAATATGTGCTTTTACATCCATTTTGTCACATAATACAGTATGCATTTCTAGACATGTTTTATCTAAAGGTACATATTGTAGAGTGTAGATTATCCTAAAATAAGGATTTTTACATAGACCTAGGAACATTTAAGAGGTGCTAACATAAACTTTAAAATTCAGAATAATGACAAGTCTAGAGGATAGCTATCTGGATATAATTCCAAAAGGTCCAGATCCTGTCATTGTTGCACCTGAATTCTCAAAGATCCAAATACTCAGTTGTCTTTAATGAACAACCCAAAGTAATATCTTATAGAAACAACGGGAGTGTTTGCTGATATTTACCCTCAGTGAATTGTTCTCCTATATTGGAATGCCTTCTTTTAGAGGCAAAATTTAAACCAGGAGATATTTGATGATCTGTTATTCCAGGTTTGTTTTTGGGGGGGGGGCTTCTTTGTTACTGGTGAGGTTTTTGTTCAGAACTACCCCCTCCTCTGCTCATTTCCTCTGTTAATCATTTCTCATCCCTTTACTGTGATGTGGCATTGTGCATTTGGTTACTGGCCTACATAGTTGCCACATAAAAGTCTGTTGTGCAACTGAACTTTTTCTTCTTCTTTTTGAAGTTACTTGCTCGGTCTCATACAGCCAGTGACCAGAAACTTAGAATTGCAACAGCCGTGTGTGTTACCATGACCCATTTCTTTGGAAGGTCATTCTGAATAGTTTTGAAACAATCTGTCAGCAAGTCACTTTTCCACTGGCCGACAGCCAGGGCTTCTGTTCTCTGTGGTGGTTGCCTCTATGCTTGTACAGTCCTTGCATAGAAAAGTTGTTTTTTTCCTGACTCCAGCAGCCATACTGGCTGGGCAAATATGGTAGTACAAAACAGTAGCTTTTCCCAGCCCACCTTTAATCTCCCATTTCTATTTCATAGAATTAGAGTCACAGAATTTTTAGAATTGGAAGGCTTATCAATGCCAGCACAGAAAATCCCA